GCAAATTGTCTCTGAGATCGTAGCCCAGTTATACTCAGAAAACTCCATACAAACCCTTCTAATTTTTTTTTGGGTCGACCCAAAAAAAATTTAGAAGGGTTTGTATGGAGTTTTGTAAGCATAACTGGGCTACGATCTCAGAGACAATTTGCCCCCAAATGCTCATTTTTGGCAAGTAGGCCTCTTGGACATTGTTCTTTCAGAATATCCTGACAAATCCCATAATTTCAGAAATTTCATTTTTATGACGTCACACTTTAGTACTCTATTAGAGCTGAGATCCTGCTTCAAAGTTCTCAGTCAACAGTTTAATGGTATTATGGTATTTATTGAACTTCATGTCACGCTTCTTTCCTTTGGTTGCTTTATTTGGAAATTTTAGGTCTTAAATTGAAAAAAAAATTCAGAAATAATTGTGGAGGATTTTTCGACCCTCGACCATTTACCCTGGACCCTCGACTAGTTACTCTCGACCATTTACCCTCGACCCTCGACTACGGTAGTTACCCTCGACCCTCGACCAAAAGGCAAACTCTACAAGTACTACGCGATGGCGCCATTACTCCGCTTTTGGCACATCTTAAACACCTTTCATTATTGGGAAGGATCATGTACCGACCATAATTCCTTGTTAACGGTTTCGTCGTCCTTTTCGACGTTACAAGACCCAGACCTTTACAAGTGCGTACGAAACTGGAAGTAAACTATGCGCCTTCGCATATAAAATAGCTTGCGTGGCTGGCGGTTTTCTTTGTCGAATGCGCGAGAAAAGTAAAAACCATAAACCCATGTTCACCGGTCCATGTTGCCTTCTCGTTGTTTCCACCCCATTCCCCTCTTAAGTTAGCTCCGCTGTTAACTCGCGCTCCCTCGCGCTCCCCTCCATTGCCCCTACCCAACAAAAATGCCATGTTATACATACCAATATTAAATTGTAAATTCAATTTTGGAAGCAAGGACCACTTTTTCTGATACAGACTATCTCCAAACCCGCACGTTCTAATACATTTTACCCCATTGCAATTGTTTCCAGCAATAGCCATCCTACTGAACGTGTTTTACAACTGCAGACCATCATCTCAAACTCCTGGTACATACTACACATTAATTCATAAAAGACACGCCACACTTTCTCAACAAACTGGAACACCTTGGACAGATACCCGAAAATGCTTTTATTGTCACCCTAAACGTGTCATCTCTCTACACTAACATTCCTCATAACGAAGGCATAGACTCCTGTCACGCGAACACAACGCTTCATCTATCAGAACTGTAACACTTTGTGATTCCATACGGGTAATTCGCATAGGGCAAGTTTCAAACCGCAATCTGCGTCCCACCCGGCCCCTTTAAACTTTAGGTCAGTATTAATAAGGGACAATTTTTAAACATAATTACTGTTTAAGCTGTAATTATGACATCTTTTTATTAAGCAGAATTCTGAACAGTCAGATCACTTATAAATTCTCGGTTTGCACTGGTGCTTACCTCCATTCAAGTATTCCTCTCCGTATTCTTCCTTTAGCTGGTCAACCAGGTTTTCCCAGCCATCTTTGAAACATTATCCCAATTTAGAGGGCTGATGCATATCTGTTTGAAATTCACCTGGTTCCAGTATACTCACTCTCACCCCCCAGGGATACATTTCTCGTCTCAGTGCATCTGAAAACGACTCCACACCATACTTGGTTATACTGTAGGCTGACAAGAAGTTAAATGACAAACGACCTGTGTGTTTTGTTAAAGTGCAAAAAATATATCAGAAATAAGAAGGCAATAACAAAAAAGTTTTCAAGTATTAGTTTTCCGGCGCATTCGATCTAATATTTGGAGGCGGGGAGGTTCCTGCTTTCCCTTCACGTTTTTCGAACTCCGCTACTCGCTGACTTTAGATGTGAAAAAAGACGCCCATATGGTTATCGTGCGTCATTTCAATTAACTACTAATGAATCAAACCAAGAGAAAGTCAGTCGCTTATGAGAGTCGGGAACAACAGGCGCTTGGAAGTTATAGAAAGGGACTCGCGAAAGGAAACAAGCGAGCGGGCCTTCTTTTCCCTCGCGTGTCCCCCTTGCGCGCCCCGTTCTTTCTGCGCCCTTATTACTTGCAAGCGCACAGTTAGGAATTTGCACTTTCCGACAGGTCAAACCGTCGCCTGATTAGCACAGTTGCATAAGCGACGCCAATCTGTTGATCTGCAGGCCGGACAATAATCAGGGTCTTGAAAAAACTGCTAAGATCGACCATGCTGGCTGTAGGTGACTTAAGACCCAGTTTCAGTTCAGCTGATCGCGTCCTTAGATAGTGACGTTAATTAAGCCGTTTGCTTTGTCTTCTTCAGCCTTCTTTATCAATTTGAAATTTGAAAATTTTGATAAAACATTATAGACACACTGGACAGCAAACTTCACGTCAGCCTCTGGTACGTAGTACCAATGTGCATTTTAGCAGCATGTTTGCACTCTACTGCAGGGTAAGCGCAGAGAACGTCTTCAGCAGTCAGCCCATATTGTCAATAGACATGTCTCGCGTACTATGACTACCTTGGTACCCATACAAGAAACATTATTAGACTTATGTTCTTATTAGGGGTTGTGAAAGGATAAAATCAGCGTGACAAGAGCATGATTACTACAAAGGTGGCGTGATTTAGTTCGGACGGCGGCTTACAAGAAATGGTCCCTTGAAGCCATGCATATGACTGATGATATTCATTGTTACTTTGTAAGGCTTTCGAGGGCATTACGTAAAACATTATAAAAAATGGTATCAAAGCAAATGAAATCTGAACTGATTTGAAATTTCATATTTTGTATATTATTTATTTAAGAATTTTTTAAATTATTTGTCGGTGCATCGTTTTCCAGAAAACTTATTTTGTATCTTGTATTTTTACGGAGTCGGGTATGTACTTAAGGATCATATACGGAAAACTAAAGAATGAAATTTCAAAATCTGTTGAGCTTGATAGCAAATGACCATGGTACCTGCGCATGCGTGGATGTACGTTATGGAGCAGTCACCTACGTTTTTAAGAAGGCAAAGAGAGATAAGATCAGCTGAACAGCTATAATCTGTTTCCCTTACCTGCCATGCTTCCGATCTTCACAACACGTCCCTGGTCCCTCTTGACAAGTGGAAGAAATGTTTTGGTCATTTCAATCATTCCCCACAGATTAACATCAGCTGTGCGTTTGAATATACTCATCGGAGTCCATTCCACTGGCATTACATACGCAATACCTGCATTGTTCACCAGGCCCCACAGTCCAACTAAAAAGAGCATATGAAAATCAAGTACATTTTTGTGGGAGAATGCACTGGAAATAATTTTAAAAAGCCTTTAAAATTAACTCGAGCTCCAGCCATGTTTTCCTCTATCTCGCAGCAAAAAGAGAAAGGTTTGAAACTCTTAAACAGTTACTAACCCTCTTCAGTCATCAGCTCCCGGACTTCATTGTAGACTTCTTTGATCTGCTCTGAGTTTGTCACATCCAACTGGAAAGTTTTCAGGTTATCGCTCGTCACTGATTTTAAACTCTGTCCACCTTCTTTTGTCAAACAGGTCGCTAACACACAAACACCCATTCTGTCAAGTGCAATGGCTGTAGCACGACCGAATCCAGAGTCGCAACCAGTAATCAGAACATATTTTCCTCTGATGTTGAGTTTAGCTCTTGGCTTAAAATGATAAAAGAACAAAAAACTTAAAATGCCAATTACAGGCAGAAAAATGAAACTAAACGGCGAGCTTTCTGTGAAATCCATAGTCAGGCTGATAGTCGAAGTTGCCAAGACACGTCGAATGATAGAAACTCTGACCTCGTTTAAGAGGAACATTAGGAAAGGTGACCTTTCGACTCTTGTAAATATTTAGACGTTTTAGGCTTTTTAACAATTTTTTTAAATAATTATGTAATCTACACGCAATCTTTTATATTTACTTTTTAGTGATTTGTATCTGGTATTAATTTAACTTTTTATTTTACAGTGTCCCCCATTAGCTTATAGCTAAAAACATAGACAGTTAAATAAAGTTTTCATTCATTCATTCATTCGACACGCAAACCGTTGATAACCGCTCGTTAATTATGCACATATCTTTTTGACTTGGTATTCTGCATGTTAAGAAGGATATGTGAACAAGCGACTGTGTTTACATTTAATCAACGAGCAAAACCTAGAGCTCAACTCAGGGGACGGACCATTACAAAAGTTATGGGGGTGGGGGGGTAGGGGTGGGTGGGGAATTTTTGAGCCGCAGGAATTTTTTTTCGTTATCAAATTCCTTGTATGAATTTTTTTTAGGCCGTAGCATGAATATTTTTTAGGGTTAATTGGCGTGCATGAATTTTTTTTCTTTTAATTTTCCCTTGCGAAAATTTTTTTTGTACTTCGCCCGCCCCCGACAAGTTTTCTAATGGTCCGTTCCTTAACATCAAAGGAAAGTATGTTCTTATCACGGTTTGCGACTTTGGATTCATTCGAGCTCAGTCAGTACTCAGACTGATTCAAGTTCTTTTAGGATTTTTTTTACAGCTTTACCTTGCCACTGAAAAGTTGCGCGAACTGAGCGATAATCAAGTGTATCGATTTCTAATTATATTCAAAGGGAAAATACGTTATGTCCTTTCTCAGCACCTGTATTTACTTAGTTTTGAGCAAGACAACCTTTAACAGGACAAATAATTTCCTTCCCATATCAACACTTCATTTTTAAGTTGAAGATTATTAAGATTAGTATCTTTCCTAGTTAGGTATTTTCTTTGCAGTGGCTTTAATTTCATGGGTGGAAGCGGAATCATGCATGAATCATGAATCATAGTTACAAAACTTGTAGGAATCATGAATCTTTGTTTTTAAAACTGAGCAATCCTGAATCTTTGTACTTTAGCTCGGGAATCACGAATGACGAGTCTCTGAGAAAAGCGCAACAAAATAGGTATGAATTAATTGCGTTCGATCCAGGGATTGCAGGTTATGGCGTTTCCGCAAGTCAAAATTTAATTGTTTTTTTCCGGGGGAGCATGCCCCTGGACCCCCCATATAATTCGTGCATTCGAGGCTGATAGTCCGCTTGTTTCTCCAGTGACGCTGGTGCTTAATGTTCAGTAACAAAAAACTCTATATATATCTGGACAAAACGAATGATGATACAGAGAAACAGTGGTCAAGAAATCTATATAATTCTGGATGAAAACAAAAGTTTGAACACCAAAAAAAACTACGCAAAACGAGACAAAGTAGCCTCTCAGAAATTCATTTAATGAATAGGTCATCAAAAGTCTGTGAATCATGAATCTGGAAGAAAATTCTTGTAGGAATCATGAATCATTGAGGTAAAATCGAATGGAATCATGAATATCAAGATTCAAATGATTCCGCTTCTACCCCCGATTCATTAGTTCCAAAACCGTTATAAGTAAGGTATTCAGCTTGCGAACGTCGCACTTAGACTAACCTGAGATCAGGCGTTATTATTATTTTTTTTTTTGCTTCTTTGCTTCTTTGGCTCGAGAGGGAAAAAAATAACGCCCTCTTCCCGTGAGAGACATAAAGTGGATAATAGGGAGAGGGCATGATCTCAGGCTACACTTAGACAGTCAGCATGCACAATGAATCAGCCGCCGCCGCTGAAACCTCGTCGATTAGCTGGATTTTACTGCCTTTGATCGGCCTTTTTTGACCTTTTTGATATTTTGTTATTTCACCAAAGAGCTAAACTTGATGTAAATGGAAATTATATTCTCATTACCGGTTGCGACTTTGGATTCGGTCGTGCTACAGCTATTGCACTTGAAAAGATGGGAGTTTATGTGTTGGCGACTTGTTTGACAAAAGGAGGAGAACAGAGTTTAAAATCAGCGACGAGCGACACCGCACTGAGAACATTTCAGTTGGATGTGAAATGACCAAAACATTTCTTCCACTCGTCAATGGATGAGTTGTTAACTTTGCAACTTCTGCTGGTAAATTAGTGATGATCGTCTATTGATCATCTCTATCAGTTTCTGTTGAACAATGGGTTTTTTAAATTTATAGTGGGTTTTTTCTCTTAAAAGCTGTTCGTTGTCTTTTCTGGTTAACTTATCGCTTTCATGTAGTACAATAATTCTGTATAGTCTAGGTCACGGTCGTGAACGGGTTTCCGACAAATAATCACTCTCTATATTGTTGTCTACAGATTTGCTTTACTAGATTTACGATCACAGACTTCCCAGGTTCTTTAGCGTCTTGATCTCTCACTCATCCTAAGCGATCCCCCCTTTCCCCCAAATGTGCATCACCATTGTCTTCGATTGATACCCAGACCCAGGAGAAATGGGCAGTGACAATGGTTATCAGTTTTTTTTTTTTAGGAGGGGGGGGGGGGGGGGGTGTGTAATTGCGGCGTGTTTTTTGCCGTGGGGGTAGTATAGCCTCTCTTTTCACCCCCTCTACTTGTGTTGTTCTTTATTGTGGTTTAAAATATGGAACAGTGGACACNACAAAATGTGTATGTAAAACTAAGTGCAGGAAATATAAAAGTATGAAAAAAATGTGATAAAAAGTCTAAAAATCTACGTAAATATATTATCAATACAGGATCTAATAATAAAACTATTGATAAAACGATCTGTCTTGCTTTTAGGTGCGATGAAGCGCGTGTTGCACCTTACAGTATAACGTGACGGACCACTGAATTGTATTAAACTATTCAGACGGTGTTTAATATAGAGTCCTTTACCGTGGTCGGGTGTCGAAAGTGTTATGACATAGCCCTGTGATGAAATCTACAATAGGGAGAATGTTCTCCTGTTCGATAGCCTTCTGGTAGGGCAGTCCTGGGCATATTATAGACATTGCCCGTTTTTCCACTCGGGCAAACTCGTCTTTTAGGTACTATGGAAAGGCATAGAAAAGCAGGTGCTGCGTACGTAAGAACAGAGCGTATACAAGCAGTGTAAAAAGTGTGAATATCCTGCCGAGGAACTCTTGATCTCTTTAGCTGCACTAAAAAATACAGACGCTTCGACGCTTTCTTCATTATGTCACTAAAATATGCCAATCCTTCTACGTAAGGTTGCTCGATACGGTCAGACCTAGACGTTTAGCACTAGCTTGTCACTTTCTTTAGTTCATTATCTTATACTACAATAGGCGCAAACCGGGGCTCATCCTTTACAAAAGATACCCTTAGTGAGCTCCTTACACTTGTCGCTATTAAGTTTGACTCTATTCTACGGAGATAACTCCACAACTTTATCCGCGATCTCCTGGGCACAACTTCGGTTGCCCCCCCTGGTAACGACTTCTGATGCCGTCGTATCGTCAACGTACTTCCATACATTAGCTAAATGATCAGAATCTAAATCATTTATAAGTACAAGAAATAGCCATGAGTCTAATTTTGTTCCCTGATGGAGCCCGCACGGCACTGCGCCCCACGCGGAGTAACAGTCCGCAGAGTTAACCAGAAAAGAAATCTATGATCCAATTGATAATTCTTGTGGGCAGATCCAACCTGCACAATTTCTCTACGGGTATTCTATATTCTATACTTTATAATTAGGCTATATATTTTCAGATGCAGAACTGTAAAGGAGCTACTTTAAGAATGATCGTGATGAATGTAGATTTATATAATGACAGTTAAATGGCTTCATCTCCATTAAATATCAAAACAACTATCACTGCTTCGGAAATAGCGTTTCAACATGGCTAGTCTTTTCGAACCACTTTAGGCAATGCCGTTTTCAACAGCTTTCTAATAATTGAGTCCACCACAAAGGTTAGTAGCCAGGACACCATTGCTATTCCAAACCAAGCATCTGAACCAACCACATAACGGTCACGCGGTGTTTGTGACGTTAAGGCATCCAAAACAGCATCCACAACTAAATACAGGCGATCAGATTGAGGAAACTCTGTCCACAACTTAACCACTAGGAAGAAAAAACTGTCATTAGCTTCTGTTTCTTCAATTTCATTGTTTTAAGTACTGATCCAGATATTGCTTATTAGAGACGACTGATTTACCTAATTCTGGAATAACAATACATTCTAGATTCTTCATCAATAAAACGAATTTATTTAGTACAGCAATTTGCCACTATTTATGTTACCTGAAGAAAACTTTGTTGGCAAGTAAATAATGTTAATTGGCATCTCCGCATTTCTTTCTAAACTGGAAAGTACAATTTTCAGGATGACGATATACCTTCATTCAAGAATTTCTCTCCGTATTCTTCCTTTAGCTGATCATCCAGGATCTCCCAACCAGCTTTGTAACTTTTTTCAACGTGGGAGGGCTGACTCATGTTGGTCTGAAATGTACCAGGTTCCAGAATGCTCACTTTCACTCCCCACGGATACATTTCTCGCCTTAATGCATCTGAAAACGCCTCCACGCCATACTTGGTTATACTGTATGCTGACACAAATGGCACCGAGAAACGACCTGTATTTTATTAAAAGTATGAAATCATACATTAGAATTAAGATGGCAGTCCTTTGAAGACTGCTTTTTATTACTAGATGAATCTTTATAAAAAATGGAGAAGATCATAGGCAGCTTGTGCAATTGTGAAAAGAATCTAGGGGACTATAACACAAACAAGGTGAAAGTTGCAACTTTCTAAAAATGATTATCTGCGAAGCAACTTACTTAATGAAGAAAATCTTGCTCCCTTCGTATTTATTTTACATTTTCCTAAAGTCCACTTGCCTTTGCGGTGGACACAAAGGTCTCTTTGTTTGTCACTCAAGGAAAGAATCGAAGTAAGGTGAAAGAAACAATTATAATAAAAGTCCTGGGATAGACGATACATCTCTCAAGACTATCTTATTTTCTAATATAGTTCAGCTATAATGCGCAATCTGACTGGTCAAAAGGCGTGCTCTATGAGGGTATAGAACACGAAGCTAAAAGTTTGTTTCGAAAAATTAGGAATTAAGTTCTGCGTGGAGAATTTAACGGATCCTTTATCATAAAACAATCAAAGAAGCCTTGACTATGCTCTGTTTTTTTTAAAATTCTGTTGTAAAGCACTTAGGAAGCGGCCAGAGTACGCACTCAAAAAGTAAAGAGAAACACTCGACTGCATCTCGTGTTTCCCCTGCACTTCTTTCGTGCTCTAACCGCTTCAATCGGTTTTCAACATTTTCCCCTTACCAGCACCACTTGAGAAGTTAACAACTCGTCCCCGGGCCCTCTTAACAAGTGGAAGAAATGTCTTGGTCATTTCAATCAGTCCCCATAGATTCACATCTGCGCTTCTTTTATATATGGTCAGCGGAGTCCACTCGATTGGTAGCCTATGCACAATTCCAGCGTTGTTTACCAGGCCCCACAGTCTGCCTAAAAATTACATTTTTAAGAACTGTCAGCCATCAAATTCTGTTGCAAAAACGGAATGTCCTGAATGGAAGGGGATGGTACAATTCCCATCTCCAAGCCTATTTCATTTCATGGCTTAAGAAGCACATTTTGTTGATAAATTTTACAACCTCCTACCGTAGAAAAACCGTGAAAACCGGAAACGTTTCTGGAAAAGAGCGGAGGAAACCCGCCCATCAAACACGAAAAAAAGGCAGTTGGGGTTTGTAGTTAGATTATGTTTTTGAGGTTTGCTCAGTCCTTCAGGCTTATTGGTCATGACTCAATAATCATTCCTAAATACCAAGTTTTTCATTGTTTTTTCGAAAGATGTTGTGGCAGGGGAATGAGTCGGGGCCTCCTTTGCTCAGGAGCGCAGCTGACAGTGAGCTTAGTGGTAAAGCATATTGCCCAGTATAAAGCCTGAAGGTGATGGGTTCGACCCTTGTTGGGAGAACTCGGATTTTTTTTCGAGTCGCCTAAGTCACTGACAGGAGAAAACATAAAAAAACCTAGAAAACAAGACCAAACAACAACAGCAACAAACTTATGCTTCACACTGAATGGTGGTGCGTGTCCTCGTGGGAGTGAAATTAAGTAAACAATATCTGATAATGAGTACTCAAGGAACCGTGGCCGACACGAACTCGTGTATTTGTGATTCGGTTTTGAATAAAATTATTAAAGGAATGCCTTGGAAAAAGAACTTACTATTAACGGGATAACAAGCAATGATGTCAACAATCGTGCAATAAAAAGTAAAAATAGAACAGGGATACTCACCTGCGTTACCATTGACCAGCAGTTTGTTGACTTTATCAAGTACTTCTTTAATCTGCTCTGAGTTTGTCACATCCAACTTAAATGTTTTTAGTTTGTCACTCGTCACTGATTTTAAACTTTGTTCACCTTCTTTTGTCAAGCAGGTCGCTAACACACAAACACCCATCTTGTCAAGTGCAATGGCTGTAGCACGCCCAAATCCAGAGTCGCAACCCGTGATGAGAACATATTTTCCCTTGACGTTAAGTTTAGCTCTTGGTTTAAGATAATAAAGCAATAAAAGAGTTAAAATGACAATTACAGGCAGCAAAATGCCATTAAATGTCGAGCTTTCTGCGGCATCCATGGTTTTGACTCAGTCAATTCGTGACTTACGGTCATGGGTTGTGACTTTAAAAGCCTAAAGGGATCACGTGAAGACCGTGAAGTGATTTGCTTGAATAGGTCAACGAGCGGCCTTTGAGCGAAAGCCATTTGGCAATGCTTTGAGTAATTCTATCTCATTATCCTTCCTAAATAACTGTTGCTAGTCAACTGTCTTCTACGTTCTCCATCGATAAAAATAGGTAAAATTCTGACTCCTCTTCCCGTGATTCTTTGAAGTGTCTCCAGTGATTCAAGTCCAGAAGTCCATGTCATTAAGGCATTAAGCCTTTCAGCATGTAACGTCACGGAGAGATGATCAACATTATGGATGCCGCTGAAACCTCGCCATTAAGCTGGATTTTACTGCCTTTGATTGGCATTTTCACTCTTTTGATATTTTGTTTTTTAAAATCAAAAGCAAAACTTGACATCAAAGGAAAGTATGTTCTCATTACGGGTTGCGACTCTGGATTCGGTCGTGCTACAGCCATATCACTTGACAAGATGGGAGTTTGTGTGTTGGCGACTTGTTTGACAAAAGGAGGTGAACAGAGTTTAAAGTCAGTGACGAGCGATAAACTCAAAACATTTCAGATGGATGTGACAAACTCAGAGCAGATCAAAGAAGTTTATTATAACGTCAATGAGTTGGTCCAATGTGATGGAGGTGTGTAAGTAACGTAGTATCTAAACAAAGTGATTCAACACTCCTGCTGAATTTTAATTTCAATACACGACCAATGATTGTCATGATAACATTCGCTCGCTATAAGTATTAGCCACGTCAGTGGCCTATCTTGTTTTCCTGCTTTGCAAAAACTGCTTTACCTCAGTTTCTATTTTCCTAAAACATTCCTAAAGAATTATGTAATCAGATCAGCTCTCATTGGTGTCACGTTGTAGGTCACGGCTCCTTGATATCTTGGATTTGTTAGCGCTCAGTATTAAGCATTGTTATAAACCTTAAATCCTTTCCACAAAACTGAACAACCCTAAATCCTACCCTGGTATGGTATTGTGAAATGATGGGTCTACAATCGGTATCATTTCACCAGGCGACTATTATTGTGGTTGAAAAAAAAAATGACTGCCCGCCTTTTGTAACATATTGACGACTTTTTATAGAGTCGCTCAAAATTTCTTTTCGAGCAGGTGGACTGTGGGGACTGGTGAACAATGCAGGAATCGGATACATGCTGCCGATCGATTGGGCGCCGATGAGTATATTTAAACGCACAGCAGACGTGAATCTATGGGGACTGATTGAAATGACCAAAACATTTCTTCCACTTATCAAGATGGCCAGGGGACGAGTTGTGAACTTCGCAAGCGTTGGCGGTAAGCTATATAAAGGAAACACACTATGCCATTTCATGGCTCCACAACCCTGTCATCATTTTGAAATCGCGATACATGACATGTTTTCTTCAAATAGGATCTTTGAACACAAATATTAGGGCACATACCACAAGACACTAGCTAAACAACAACAGTTTCCACAACGCCAATTCACGCAATATTGGTAATCCCCTAATAGAATTACTAACAATGGTCCCTTCAGCTTCGGTCACGTATCAAATTCCCGGGGATTTGCTTCCCAGTTTGGTGCACATTTCTTCTTTATTGAGTGGGTATCTTTAGAAGCGGCCACTGGCGCCCTTTACAACTCTCGACTGCCTAATATAAATAGTGTATTTCATCCTTATTGAATTTGGACGAGCAGGAGAGAAACCTGGTAACGAGGTTAGTCAGCTATCATCATTAATAAGGCGCTTTGACGCGAAGGTGAACGGAGCATGCCCGCCTTCTCAAACACGTAGATGACTCATATTACATGATGAATAAACGAATACTGTGAGTGGATATGCCGACATTTGTCCGGCAGCTCAGACACGTCAAAAAAGTTATCTTCATCTTATCTTCCCTCCTCGCCCCTCCCCCCCCTCCCCAACCACATCGCACGTTCAGATCTTTTAGTATTCAGTAGCTTAGATTGCAGCCAATCACTAACTGACTCCTCCAGGTACGTAGGTACAATGAACTTCACAAGGTCAAAGTGACTCGTTTCTCCTTCAATTAGGACTTTTCCGCAGATCAGAAGGGCTGTCTGTATATAGTGTTTGTACTTTTGATACATGCAGGTCGTTTCTCGACGTCCATATTCTCCCACTATGCTGTGACTAAGTATGGCGTGGAGGCGTTTTCAGATGCGTTAAGACGAGAAATGTATCCCTGGGGAGTGAAAGTGAGTATTTTGGAACCAGGTGCATTTCGAACCAACATAAATCAGCCATCCATTATTGAAAAAAATTTGAAAGAGGCCTGGGAAAACCTAGATGATCAGCTTAAAGAGGAGTACGGAGAGGAATACTTAAAAGAAGGTATATTTTCATTCTTAATTTGTGCTTTTCCTACCATAGACAAGTGAACTGAAGCTTGATTAGCTTCGTGAAAATGTGCTGTAAGCGAAGTGCACATAGGACGGAGCTAATAGACACTTTTTTAGACATTAAAATATAGTTGATTATCAAATGATCAGTGAACTTTGAAAGAACACTAACGAGGAACAGAAAAGACGAACTGAAGGGGCGTAACATGAGCAAAACTGAAAAGGAGCGGTGTGCATTCAGGTAGGCAGAAGAACTGAAGACCGTATTTTTTTCAAACTTGGTCTGATGGACCAAGTCGTCCGTCCATTTAGGCACACTGCCTACAAAGGATGGAATTTTTTCAAATAAGCTAGTCTTCTTCGAAAATAATGCTATAGTTTTCTTTCTTTTCGTCCTTACGAAGTAGACAGTTTTTAACAATTTTCATATCAATTTCATTTCAATTTTTTCATCAGGTAACCCTTATAGTGAAACTGACCTTTATAGTTACGGGCCGGTATCTATTGACCGCTTCTAAAATGACACTTGATACACAAAATTTCTTTGTAATGAGATGCCAACGATGTTTTTTTTTTCTCCCCAAGTGATTAAGCGCCTTACAGAGTTTCCTGCATCTGATCGCCTGGATGAAGTTGCGAATACCGTGGTGACTGCTCTGACGTCACACGCACCACGCTATCGTTACCCTGTTGGTTTAGATGCTCGAATGCTAATGGCAATGGTTTCCTGGTTACCAACCTTTGCTATGGATTTTGTTCTTCTCAGCTGGTTAAAATTTCCATTACCAAGAATAGGTCGAAAGAGCTAGCCGTGGCAAATCAACGATATTAGGGACCTTACGATCCGACAACGGCGACGTCCGTGAAAACGTCGCTGAAAAATAGACTTTGCATCCTTTTAAACTTTTGCGCGATTATCCCAATTCGCCCTGTTACTTAAAAGAAAGGAATTTCGGTTGGAGCTGAAGCAAGGGAAACGCGCACGAGTTCAGACAGAGATGGTAGAATTTATCACCTTGCCGTTACCGTTCTCAGGTAAAATTAAAATTTGGCCATTTCACATCGTAGTTGTGCAGGAACAGCAAAGAAATGAACAAAAAAGCGTGATGCAAGTGCAGAGTTGTTGTTTTGCTCATTAAACCTATTGCTTTTTTGACGTTCTCCTTGCCGTCGCCGTCATAGTTTCGTAAGTTCTTATTAGGGACCTTAAAAACGAGAACGTTGACTTCGCGGACATCAAAAATGGCAACCGGAAGTTGATATTTTCTCTCTTTCATAGCCTGCGGTACAGCCATTTTCTCTGGCGCGTGAATGTTTTTGCTCGCGAAAGCGCCATGTTGAAACTCCAAAATTGAGGAGGAAATGGGGCGACTCAAAAGGGGCGGGGTCCTTGCGAGGGAGCTATAAGCTGAGGTATATACGGCCCTCTGTGAACGGTATGGTTTTCCAGTACTTTAGTCTGGGAAAGGGTGTAGAAGTCAGAGCGGTTCGGAGGAGTTTATAACACATGGGAGTTGCTCGCTCAGGACCGGTTATGGGGTCCTGGCCAAATTGAAACCTGCAGCCATTTTTTTGTACAAGGCGTCATGACTTTGAGCGTTAGTTATTGATTATGGCGTATCCCTAACAATTTCTTTGTCACCGTTGGTATTTCAATAAAACACCTGAAAAAAGGAATAACAGAAATAATGAAAAGCTGCTAAGCCATTTTTTTTTAAATAAGGAAAACAATGGTACAACAACAAACAACAACAACAAAATGCTCTAAAAAAACAATAAAATGCTCTTAGAAAAATGACAAGAGAACGAGAAGCACCTTAGAGAGAAAGGTTATAAATCCACAAAACTCAATAAATGAAACTATCAATGATACGCTTTGAAAAGTAAGAAACCCTACAACCACCCCTCTTCCCACCAAAAAGAAAAAAAAAAAACATTCGCCCTTTTTCACGCAACACCAAATATATTTTCCGAGCCCCTTCATCGTCCTTTTGATTTGACAAATAACGGAGAATCAAGCTCTACTAACACATGTATGAGGAACCTCCAATCATATGCAAGGAGAACCATAACCTATGGGCTCCTGATCATGCAATCGAGGAACGTCTTGCATATACTCGTCAAAGCCGGAAAACCCCGGGGAGACTTTGGGAAAGGCTAGAACTATTGAAGTTTGTGGAAGATAGGAATCGTTATTGGGGTTATATGAAGGAAGATCGTCGCAGTTACATAGGCAACTTTTGCAGTTGCGAAAAAAAAGCGTGAAAAAAAATTCAGGCTGGTACGGGATTCGAACCCTTATGAATATATTTTCATATATTCATAACTTCATGAATCGGAATTGTTGACGTTAACTCCTTTACAAATTCTAAATTAATTTTTTTTTGATTGGGTTCGATTAAGTTCGGTAATCGAACACAATCGAACTCTCACGAAAAAATTAAGTAATCGAACCCAATCGAACTTTGATTGAGTTCGACCACAGGTAGCCCAAGCTCGAAATATGAGCATCGGCGAGCATCGGCATTGTTGCGTAACATTCAAAATATAAGGATTTGTATGGGAAAAAAACCTATCGTTTCTGTAACCTACGAAAATGAAAGGATTTCAATAAAAAACAGCTTACCTTACTTAAAATGTGTGTTACGTCTCCCCTGTGTGGTCCACGGGCCGATTTATGGCCGTTTTATGGGTTTTTATGCAAACGGTTTATCATCGGTTTCGCCGATGCTCATATTTCGAGCTTGGGCTATCTGTGGATTGACTGGGCTCGATGGTCGAAGTTGGTATACATACGATTAAAAATGGGACATTATACAGGAAAATTGCCCGTGTTTTGTTAAATGTTTCCTTTTTCTAGGGTGTCTTACCACTGATAGAGTATATTCCGCGCGGGAGTGGTGGTATCGGATCAGTGTAGCGTAATTTTTGGAGCAAAAATACATACAACAACACCCTGGATCGGAAGAACAAGGACATATTGCCATATTACAACTTTATCCTCCTTTAATCCCTTTAATCAACCTCCTCAATCACAGAGTGAATATTATGCTTCGTAAAGAGTTTTTTCAACTTTACAGCGTCCCTTGTAGGTATTAAAGTCTCAGTTGATCTCACTGCCGGCACATTCACGCCTCCTCCTCCTCCATCTGATTCTTTTTTGGTTCTTTGCTGATTTCGGCCTAGTGATTTCTTTGCTGCTTTCCTGATTCTTTTAACGCTAAAAGGACCCTTCAAAAAAAACCCTTGTCTATCTTGAGTGTTAGTTTAGAACGTTTGATTTAAGTTCGATTGGTTCGGTTGAGTTCGGACTGAACGAACTTGACGCAAATTTTTTGGTTCGATTGTGTTAGATTGCCGAACTTAATCGAACCCAATCGTTCCATTAAGTTCGATTACCGGACAGTTCGAGTGGTTACGTCGGTAAATGAGTAAGGTTCTAAGAGTCTACTAATGAAACTAAGATGACAGATGTTACGTTTTCCCGCTTGCTAGTAAAATTTCAGTCCAGCTCTTAAATGACTCCTGAAAGGAACGAAACCGAACCAAAAATCAAACGAACTCAGTCGAACCCAATCGGTCGGATTGTTGTTCGATTGGTTCGAACTGAAACTCTTCGGTGAGTTCGGTTAATCGAACTCAATCGACGCGATTGGTTCGATTTCGTTCGGCAGAAAGACAAAACGCATTCAGTTTCAATTGAATCGGACAGATTTTCCTTTAGTATCATACTGTATGTATGTCCCGGGATGTAAGTGAAGCAATTTGAAAAATATTTCAATAGCTGTTATTACGTACAGTTGAGCTTAACCCGGAATTGACTAAAATCTTTATTGTTAAAGTGAAACATGGACGGCAAACATGAACAGGACAGTAAAACCATGTGAAATGCCGACCAGGGATATTCTTAGGATACCAAGTCAAATAACCAGCGCAAACCTTCTTCGATAAGTTTCGATAATTCAAAAAGGACCACTGTAACTGAATCTCAATGCACCCAACAGTTACAGAGCATAATATACAAATACTAGCGCTTCCACTGTTCTCATTACCTCAAAGTAAATGTCTAATAAATCCACAAGTGGCGTCAAAGCTGTTGCACAACGGAAAAAATACAAGCTACACTTTTGGCGTTACAATGCTTCATTAAGTAAAAGAAGTAACACGGACACTGCGAAAGAGCACTCGTTTAGCGCCCTCTGTGACAACTTGTTCGATTGGCAAAATTTTGGGGTGAGTTCGATTACATGTAAGTTCGATCCTGGGTTGGAGTATTCCTGGGAATTCTTGGTGGGGGTGTGCCGCCCGGTTCTTAATTCAAATCCTGACCCGATTTGAGACCAAAAAATGTCATTTTCCATACCTATTTTCAGACCAGACCTCTAAAATCCACGCCCGTTTTCAGACCTGGCCTTTAGGCAGAAATTATGTCATTATTACTAAGATAAGAGTGCAAACAAAAATATTCTTAAAATCCATTTGGGTCATTTAGACTTCTCATATTTCTCTTTCTTTCTTACTCATTTAAAATTAAAACGATAAATACGTCCATACACTCTCGTAGTTCCCGCGAAAACCATACCCGATTCAAGACCAAAATGGGCAAAATCTATACCCGTTTTCAGACCAAAAAGGCGTAAAACCATACCCGATGGGGTGGCATATAGCTATATAGGTTATATAAGGTAGTACCCCCCGCCCCCGGAGTCGATTACCGAACTCAATGGAAGTCAATCGAACGATTGGAGTTCGATTACTGAAACTGGATACGCCGGGCATTCGTGCACTGCCCTCCATAGCCTGTTCCAGGCGTTCAGATAGTGGGGAGCTGTGTGAAGTAAAAAGGAGCGCGAAAAAGTAAAAGCGAGGGAGGGGGGGAGGTGAGAGAGGGAACTCGTTCCCGCACCTCTCTCCCCAGTCCCCCTCTACTTATTATCGCTTTCTTCACTTCGCACCGCTCTCCACTATCTGAACGCTTGGAACAGACTATGCCCTCCACAATGCCCCTTTGATATGATATTGATATGACTTGCCGCACGACTGACCTTTAGTTTAACTTATATCAAATTATTACTAGACTTTATACCGGAACGGTCGGTCGATTCAAAAGTATGGATGCCGCAGAGAGCTCGAAATTTAGTTGGCTTGTTTTGCCTGTAATTGGCGTTTTCACTCTCTCGCTGTTTTATTATTTTAAGCCAAGAGCTAAACTTAACGTCAAGGGAAAATATGTTTTGATTACCGGTTGCGACTCTGGGTTCGGTCGACTTACAGCCATTGCACTTGACAAGATGGGTGTTTGTGTGTTGGCGACCTGCTTGACAGAAGAAGGAGAACAGAGTTTAAAATCAGTGACGAGCAACAAACTGAAAACATTCCAGTTGGATGTGACAAACTCAGAGCAGATCAAAGAAGTCTATGATAAAGTCAAGTACCTAGTGGAAAGCGAGACAGGTGAGCGAGGAACGTAGTGTCAGTCAGTTCACACAACTACACGATTGCAATTACATACGATCACTGCACAGATTGTTTGAAAACTAATTTCTTCACGTAATCTTAACATAAAACCTTTACTGAAAGTCTCATTTCGTAAGCTTTCCTGAAAAATGTATCCCAGGAATCATGTGCCATAGCATGTTGTGCATGATAATTTTCTTCGTTGGTCATTGCGTGTCACAAAAACTCAGAACTCGGACCCCGAAAAACTTAGACCCCCCAAAAACGCAGACCCTTGGATTTGCCGAAAACTCAGACCCTCAATTCAATGTTTTCAAATATTATAACTTACTATAGACCGCGAGCAGTCTCT